CAAAAAAAAAAAAAAAAAAAAAAAAAAAAAAAAAAAAAAGGAAAGAACAACTGGGACAGGAGAAAGGAGAAAAGAAAGAAATAAGGAAGGGAAATATATAACTATATATGTACAAGGTAGCTAAGATAAATGTACTACTGGTTTCTACTGGTTCAATGAAGGGAACAGTTAATGCTTAATTGTTTGATCAATTTTGGATGCTTATATCTGGTAATCTGAAAAACTACATTGAAGATAACAATATGCAATATAACAACCATTGTTAATTTCCTATCATCTTGTTTTCAAATTCTGTGTCATTTTAATTGGTTTTTTTTTTATCTTAAAAAAAGGACACAGACAAAAGAAGGGCAATGGTGAAACTCACTAAGTCTTCAGCAACCATCTCTCTGACCAAACTGACCGCACACAAGCATCTCAAGGAGCACTTCAGCTCAATACTCACCTAGCCAGGCTCACTCCACTGAAAACCTGACCTTCAGGCCCCTGGAGATGTGCACTTGACCAGCCTCAGACCACTGGGTGGCAAAAGAACATGACCATCCTCCAAGGGGAGGCCTGCTCCTGCAGCCCCCGCCTGCGGCAATGCGCTGGATCTGTCATGATAAGAATGACGGTTTAAGTTTTCACTCATTTTGTTCGGCTCCAAGGAATGTAATTGGGGTGACATCACTGACTTATGCACACTCAAAGATGCCACAGAGGCATGTGTGCTGGTCAAACTAGAAAATCTTGACAGCCCTGTAGGACCCTGGGCCAAACTGCTGTGCCCCAGGAGCCTGCATAGACCATTTCCACCCTGTGGAAGGCCAAGCAAAGCTGGCAGGTCCACAAGATAACGTCTACTCCTTGTGGGAAGAAATGCTTACCTTCCTCAACCATTCATAGGTACAGAGCTCACTGGCAAAACACAAGATGTGCAGCAACTTCTCACTGCATCCAGCACTAAGGTACCAGACACAGGTAGCTGGCAGGCAGTGGTCCCAGCAACACCCTGAGTAGAAGAGATGAAAAACAGCATGCATGTAGGAGAGAGGGCCAGCACATTTCACCAATCCCACACTGCCCTGGCCTTTGTTCTGACTTTATCACCTACTGTCCTTCCTGTCATACCTGAAGGGCTTCCCACAAGTAAGAGTATATTTGTTTCCAAGTGTGCACAAGACAGAGGTCGTGTGCACTTCTGTGTATGTATGTGTCTGTGTGTGTGTCAGCATATGTGTCTGTGTGTGTGTCTACATGTGTGTCTGTGTGGGTGCATGCTTCCTGCGTCTGGCGAAGACACATGTCAGTGACTCCTTCAGGCCCTCCCCAGGAAAAAACTGCATACCACAACCAGCCCCGGCCCCTGTCTCATTACAGCAGCACACCAGGGCGCACATCTACAGAATGCCGGCTCAGACCTCCTGCGATGGTGAACAGGAACACCATCTACCCCTCCAAAGGTCACCTTGCTGGAGGGATCCCAAGCTCACTGCACAGCCATGCATGGCCTCTGAAGGTTCATTTGGGTAATGGGTGGGGTGCCCTACAAGGGTGAGACTTGACCCCACTTTCCTCTTCCTGGGAAAATAAAACCTAATATGAAAGGCACACAATGGCCACCAGATAGAGAATTCTAGGACACAAAGGCAGACATGTTTGCCAGGGGATCTTCTAACAACACAAGTAAGAATCCAACCCACCACAAAATGCAGGCAGTGCCTGGCCATTGAGGCAGAG